TCATACGCCTGGTGGAAGAGCTCCGTCTTACAGGCCCTGCGGAACTGCACAAGGTCCCGCAGGGCCCGGATCTCCTCCGGGAGCTCATTCCACCAGATAGGAGCCGCCACCGAGAAAGCCCTGGCCCTGGTAGTGGCCAGCCTGGCCTCTTTGGGGCCTGGCATTGCCAGGAGATGTTGGGTCCCGGACCGAAGTGCTCGCGGGGGAACATATGAGATGACTTGGGGCGTCCTGCGGTCCGGCACGAACAGGCCGAGGAGCGGGCGGTGGTCGGTGGCGATCGTGAAGGGTCGGCCGTATACAAAGTCGTGGAATTTTTTAACCCCGGCCACGATTGCAAGTCCCTCGCGATCTATCTGGGCATAATTCCGCTCTGCTGCCGAAAGAGTACGTGAGTAATACGCGACTGGGACCTCGCGGCCGTCGGGTAGGCGATGCGCCAACACAGCCCCGACGCTGTAGGGCGAAGCGTCACACGCCAGCACCACCGGCAGCGACTCATCGAAGTGGGCTAGGACCATGGTGGAAATCAAAAGTTCCTTAACGTGCCGGAACGCCGCGGCCTGTCGGGGACCCCACACCCAAGGGGCCTGCTTGTCCAACAGCCGATGTAGGGGCTCCGTCACCGCCGCCTTGAGGGGAAAGAAGGCGTGGTAGAAGTTCAGGATCCCCAAGAACGCCTGTAGTTCCACCTTCGATTTTGGCGGGGGTGCCTCCACGATGGCTTTCACCTTTTCACGGGTCGGGTACAGGCCATCCGCGTCCACCATGAACCCCAGAAAGTCAACAGATGGCACTCCCAGGCGGCTTTTGTCCAGTTTAACCTTCAGCCCGGCGTCCTGGAAACGGCTGAGCACGGCACGGAGGCGGGTGGCGAAATTAGCGGGCGTGGCGGCGGCGATCAACACATCGTCGAAGAAGGGGGTGACACCGGGAATCCCTTTAAGGAGAGAGTCCATGAGTTGTTGGAACAGCCCAGGCGCTATGCTAACCCCGAAGCTCAGTCGCTTCACCCGGAACGCTCCCCGGTGGGTAACAATGGTCTGTGCTTCCGTAGTCGCCTCGTCTACCGGCAACTGCTGGTAAGCCTGGGCAAGATCCAATTTGCCAAAAATCTCCCCCCCCCCCAGCGTGGCGAGAACGTGGCTGACTACAGGGACCGAGTATGCGTGGTCCTGCAACGCCTTGTTCAGCGTGCATTTGTAGTCCGCGCAGATGCGGACCGCCCCATTAGGTTTATTCACAATGACTATGGGGGTCTCCCACGCTGCATGGGAGACCGGCTCCAGGATGCCCTGGGCCACAAGGCGGTCAAGTTCCGTGTCGATCTTGGGTTTGACCGTCAGCGGCACCGTCCGGGCCCGCATCCTAATGGGGGCTACCGAGGGGTTTAATCGCAGGGACACCGGGGGGCCCGTATACCGGCCCAGCGAATTATCAAACACCGCGGGGAACTCGCGGCAGATTCCCTTAAAGTCCTGGGTCGTGCAGGCCTGTACCCCCTCCACAGAGATGCCCAGGGGTTCGAACCAGGCCCGTCCCAATAAGCTGACTAGGTCGCCTTCGACCACAATCAGGTCCAGGTTCCGTTTAAGATTCTTGAACTGCACCCGGAAGGTGCATACCCGGTCCCGGAAGGTGCCGACACCCTTGATTGGCACCGGGTTACGCTGGAAGTCCATGAGTGTAACCTCGGCTGGCCGTAATCGGGGTCCCCCCCTGGGGCAGAGGCGTCTCAGGGTCGCCGCGGAGATTATGGAGGCCGCGGAACCCGAATCCACCTCCATCATACACGGGGATCCCTCTATGGTGACGGTGGCCATGAACTTGGGGAACGGGGCCTTGCCGGGGAGCTGCAATACCTTCTCAGCTGTCTGTGTCAGGAGGTAGAGGTCCTCGGCGCCGGCGTCATCCCCGAAGTGGGTCTCCGCCCTCGGGCGCGTTGCCTCGGGGCGGCAGGCCTTTGCGAGTGGCGCGTGCGGCCGCAGTTGTGGCAAGTGGCCGTGTGGAACCTGCAGGTCTTGCGGTCGTGCGGGTCCCCGCAGCTGGCACACGCGGACGTGCTGGGAAGCTTGTGGCCGGCGCTCGGGCATGGCGCTTGCGTGCGGCGCGGTGCCTGAGCGCTTCGCCGGGACACTCCGAAGGCCCGGTGGACGTCTCCCTCCTCGGGGTCTCCGTCGGGGAGCACCTGGTGCACGGCTGAGGCTTGGCGATGGGAATCCTCGTGCGTGATGGCAAGTTGAAGGGCCGCCCCTAGTTCAATGTCGGCGGTCCCCACCAACTTTCTCCGCAGTTTGAGGTCACTGAGGCCCCACGCGAACTGTGTGAGCAGGTTGTCCTCCACCTTTGCGAAGGAGCAGTCCATCGCCAGCTGGCGCAGGGCGGCCATAAAGGCTGCGGCCGACTCGCCCGATTTCTGCATGCGGGCCTGAAAAGCCAGCCGCCTTGCCAACGTCGTCGGTCGGGGCATGAGGTACCTGGTGAGGGCGTCGATGATTTCCTCATATGTACATTCCAGGATGGACCGGGGCGCGAGGAGGCTTTTGGCGAGGCGAACCGTCATCACACTGTACAAGCTCAGGAGCAGCGCCCGTCTCTTGCCGGCGTCCGTGACCTTGTTGTACACGAGGTGGCACGTCAGCTGGTCGGTCCACAAGTCCCAGAGCTTGGGTTGGGCCGGGTCGAAGGCCTCCAGGTTTCCTCGGCTGGAGGCCATGCCGTAGCAGCGACGCGTGCTTGGGTTTACTGTCGCGGAAGTGCCGCTGTGCGTGGCGTGGCTGGGTCTGACGGAAGGAGGGCCAGCAAGCCGGACAAGAAGGAGCGAAGCAGCGGGGCAGCGGAGATTGCCGCCGGCGGCGTGCGAGCCGGAAAAGGGCCAGCTAGCCGTGCGAAGAAGGAGGAGTCGCCGGGGCCGCGGAGCTTACCGGGGCTAGCCGGGCGAAGAAGGAGGAGTCAGCGGGGCCGCGGAGCTTACCGGGGCTAGCCGGCGCAGCAGGAGTCAGCGGGGCCGCGGAGCTTACCGGCGGCGGCGCTAACGCAGGCGTCGGGGCGGCGTGTGTCCCGGGAGCTGGGGCTAGCCGGCGAAGAAGGAGGAGTCAGCGGGGCCGCGGAGCTTACCGGCGGCGGCGCTAACGCAGGCGTCGGGGCGGCGTGTGTCCCGGGAGCTGGGGCTAGCCGGCGAAGAAGGAGGAGTCAGCGGGGCCGCGGAGCTTACCGGCGGCGGCGCTAACGCAGGCGTCGGGGCGGCGTGTGTCCCGGGAGCTGGGGCTAGCCGGCGAAGAAGGAGGAGTCAGCGGGGCCGCGGAGCTTACCGGCGGCGGCGCTAACGCAGGCGTCGGGGCGGCGTGTGTCCCGGGAGCTGGGGCTAGCCGGCGAAGAAGGAGGAGTCAGCGGGGCCGCGGAGCTTACCGGCGGCGGCGCTAACGCAGGCGTCGGGGCGGCGTGTGTCCCGGGAGCTGGGGCTAGCCGGCGAAGAAGGAGGAGTCAGCGGGGCCGCGGAGCTTACCGGCGGCGGCGCTAACGCAGGCGTCGGGGCGGCGTGTGTCCCGGGAGCTGGGGCTAGCCGGCGAAGAAGGAGGAGTCAGCGGGGCCGCGGAGCTTACCGGCGGCGGCGCTAACGCAGGCGTCGGGGCGGCGTGTGTCCCGGGAGCTGGGGCTAGCCGGCGAAGAAGGAGGAGTCAGCGGGGCCGCGGAGCTTACCGGCGGCGGCGCTAACGCAGGCGTCGGGGCGGCGTGTGTCCCGGGAGCTGGGGCTAGCCGGCGAAGAAGGAGGAGTCAGCGGGGCCGCGGAGCTTACCGGCGGCGGCGCTAACGCAGGCGTCGGGGCGGCGTGTGTCCCGGGAGCTGGGGCTAGCCGGCGAAGAAGGAGGAGTCAGCGGGGCCGCGGAGCTTACCGGCGGCGGCGCTAACGCAGGCGTCGGGGCGGCGTGTGTCCCGGGAGCTGGGGCTAGCCGGCGAAGAAGGAGGAGTCAGCGGGGCCGCGGAGCTTACCGGCGGCGGCGCTAACGCAGGCGTCGGGGCGGCGTGTGTCCCGGGAGCTGGGGCTAGCCGGCGAAGAAGGAGGAGTCAGCGGGGCCGCGGAGCTTACCGGCGGCGGCGCTAACGCAGGCGTCGGGGCGGCGTGTGTCCCGGGAGCTGGGGCTAGCCGGCGAAGAAGGAGGAGTCAGCGGGGCCGCGGAGCTTACCGGCGGCGGCGCTAACGCAGGCGTCGGGGCGGCGTGTGTCCCGGGAGCTGGGGCTAGCCGGCGAAGAAGGAGGAGTCAGCGGGGCCGCGGAGCTTACCGGCGGCGGCGCTAACGCAGGCGTCGGGGCGGCGTGTGTCCCGGGAGCTGGGGCTAGCCGGCGAAGAAGGAGGAGTCAGCGGGGCCGCGGAGCTTACCGGCGGCGGCGCTAACGCAGGCGTCGGGGCGGCGTGTGTCCCGGGAGCTGGGGCTAGCCGGCGAAGAAGGAGGAGTCAGCGGGGCCGCGGAGCTTACCGGCGGCGGCGCTAACGCAGGCGTCGGGGCGGCGTGTGTCCCGGGAGCTGGGGCTAGCCGGCGAAGAAGGAGGAGTCAGCGGGGCCGCGGAGCTTACCGGCGGCGGCGCTAACGCAGGCGTCGGGGCGGCGTGTGTCCCGGGAGCTGGGGCTAGCCGGCGAAGAAGGAGGAGTCAGCGGGGCCGCGGAGCTTACCGGCGGCGGCGCTAACGCAGGCGTCGGGGCGGCGTGTGTCCCGGGAGCTGGGGCTAGCCGGCGAAGAAGGAGGAGTCAGCGGGGCCGCGGAGCTTACCGGCGGCGGCGCTAACGCAGGCGTCGGGGCGGCGTGTGTCCCGGGAGCTGGGGCTAGCCGGCGAAGAAGGAGGAGTCAGCGGGGCCGCGGAGCTTACCGGCGGCGGCGCTAACGCAGGCGTCGGGGCGGCGTGTGTCCCGGGAGCTGGGGCTAGCCGGCGAAGAAGGAGGAGTCAGCGGGGCCGCGGAGCTTACCGGCGGCGGCGCTAACGCAGGCGTCGGGGCGGCGTGTGTCCCGGGAGCTGGGGCTAGCCGGCGAAGAAGGAGGAGTCAGCGGGGCCGCGGAGCTTACCGGCGGCGGCGCTAACGCAGGCGTCGGGGCGGCGTGTGTCCCGGGAGCTGGGGCTAGCCGGCGAAGAAGGAGGAGTCAGCGGGGCCGCGGAGCTTACCGGCGGCGGCGCTAACGCAGGCGTCGGGGCGGCGTGTGTCCCGGGAGCTGGGGCTAGCCGGCGAAGAAGGAGGAGTCAGCGGGGCCGCGGAGCTTACCGGCGGCGGCGCTAACGCAGGCGTCGGGGCGGCGTGTGTCCCGGGAGCTGGGGCTAGCCGGCGAAGAAGGAGGAGTCAGCGGGGCCGCGGAGCTTACCGGCGGCGGCGCTAACGCAGGCGTCGGGGCGGCGTGTGTCCCGGGAGCTGGGGCTAGCCGGCGAAGAAGGAGGAGTCAGCGGGGCCGCGGAGCTTACCGGCGGCGGCGCTAACGCAGGCGTCGGGGCGGCGTGTGTCCCGGGAGCTGGGGCTAGCCGGCGAAGAAGGAGGAGTCAGCGGGGCCGCGGAGCTTACCGGCGGCGGCGCTAACGCAGGCGTCGGGGCGGCGTGTGTCCCGGGAGCTGGGGCTAGCCGGCGAAGAAGGAGGAGTCAGCGGGGCCGCGGAGCTTACCGGCGGCGGCGCTAACGCAGGCGTCGGGGCGGCGTGTGTCCCGGGAGCTGGGGCTAGCCGGCGAAGAAGGAGGAGTCAGCGGGGCCGCGGAGCTTACCGGCGGCGGCGCTAACGCAGGCGTCGGGGCGGCGTGTGTCCCGGGAGCTGGGGCTAGCCGGCGAAGAAGGAGGAGTCAGCGGGGCCGCGGAGCTTACCGGCGGCGGCGCTAACGCAGGCGTCGGGGCGGCGTGTGTCCCGGGAGCTGGGGCTAGCCGGCGAAGAAGGAGGAGTCAGCGGGGCCGCGGAGCTTACCGGCGGCGGCGCTAACGCAGGCGTCGGGGCGGCGTGTGTCCCGGGAGCTGGGGCTAGCCGGCGAAGAAGGAGGAGTCAGCGGGGCCGCGGAGCTTACCGGCGGCGGCGCTAACGCAGGCGTCGGGGCGGCGTGTGTCCCGGGAGCTGGGGCTAGCCGGCGAAGAAGGAGGAGTCAGCGGGGCCGCGGAGCTTACCGGCGGCGGCGCTAACGCAGGCGTCGGGGCGGCGTGTGTCCCGGGAGCTGGGGCTAGCCGGCGAAGAAGGAGGAGTCAGCGGGGCCGCGGAGCTTACCGGCGGCGGCGCTAACGCAGGCGTCGGGGCGGCGTGTGTCCCGGGAGCTGGGGCTAGCCGGCGAAGAAGGAGGAGTCAGCGGGGCCGCGGAGCTTACCGGCGGCGGCGCTAACGCAGGCGTCGGGGCGGCGTGTGTCCCGGGAGCTGGGGCTAGCCGGCGAAGAAGGAGGAGTCAGCGGGGCCGCGGAGCTTACCGGCGGCGGCGCTAACGCAGGCGTCGGGTATTTTAAATGAGTTTTAAGTTTTTTAAAATGTGTACACCTAAATAAATTTTGTATGTTTATTATATGTAGTGTCAGCTTAACCCTTGGAGCTTACTTAGGAGCCTTTGATGAGGAACTTCATCAAAAGCTTTCTGGAAGTCAAGGTAAACAACATCTATTGGATCCCCCTTCTCCACATGTTTGTTCACTCCCTCAAAGAACACTAACAGGTTAGTGAGACAAGATCTTCTCTTATAGAACCCATGTTGAGTCTTCCTCAATAGTTTTTATTCATAAATGTGCCTATTATTTCTGTCTTTAATAACGGTTTCGAACTTACCCGGTATTGACATCAGACTGACTGGCCTGTAATTTCCTGGATCTCCTCTGGAACCCCTTTTAAAGATGGGGGTGATATTAGCTACCTTCCAGTATGCATGGAACCACATGTATCATACCTGCATCCTTTTATTTAGGCTCTCTAAATGGCTTCCCATAAAACAGCAGTACAAAGAATAAAATCTGGCCCAAACTTTGCCTGGTTCGAGGCTTGGGTGGACCAGTTCAAAGGTCACACGTCCAGCCCCCAGAGTTCCCGAGGTTCTTGCGCCTGGCTCTGAAGTGTTTAGGCACTCTCAGCAGAAAACCCCCACCCCTGCAGTGTCGCGCAGAAAAGCAGGTGTGGGTGGGATTTTCCAACCAACAAGGGACTAATAGTGAGCATCCGAGGCTGCCAGGCAACTCTGATTTCCAATTGGAGACATCCATCCTTCTCCATTGGAATGGGAGGTGGAGGTGTATATATTCCCTGGAGGCATGTGACTGTCCTTTGTTTTGCATTGGGTTTTCTAAGAGTCTAGTTCTCCTTGCGTGCATGAAAAAACCTGTTGGTGGGCCTGGGGTGGGTGATGGAATTTACTGGGGCCACTGGGTAGGTGGGTGGAGAAACCTGCTGAATCTCCTGGCGATGATACAAACCACCAGATGAAAAGCATCCTCCCTTTCCCTTTTCTCCCTCCCCCCCCTTTCTGAGTTCCACTGCTGCAATGCTTTGTTTACTTCCTTTTCTCTCTTTGATGTGAGGGGTGGGAACCTGGGGTTGAATTGTTTTGCTTTCTCAATGCGTGCCTGTTTCCTTCGCCAGTCAAACAGCCGAGTTCCCCCACCTCTTTTGTGGGTTCTGCAAGCAGCTCTTTTCTCTGCCTGGCTGTGGCGCTTGACTGTACTGCTCATCCCAAAAGGACACCCACCCACCCTTTCTGCTTTGGTTGCTTCAGTCTTTGACTGGGGAGTTCTCTCACTCCCCTGACTAAGCCCAGCAGTTTTGGGGCTCCTGTCTAGCTATTATCCTCTCTCCTCTGCCTGCTGGCTGTGGGGCTTGCCTTTCTGCTCCTCCCCAAAGCAACCTCTCCCTTTCTGCTTGGCTTGCCTGTGTCTCTGAAGTGGGGGTTCCCTCTCTGCCCTGTCTGCTGGCTGTGGGATCTTGCCAACAGAAAGAAAACCTTCTTCCTGGGTGGGTCGAGTCTGTGACTTGGGGTCCCCCTCCTCTTTTCTGACTGCTAGCTGAGGAGGGGGTGCCTTGACCACTCCTGCCAGAAGGAAAAATCCCTTCTTCCTGGCTAGGTTGTGTCTCTGACTTGGGGTCCCCCTCCCGCCCTGTCTGTTGGCTGTGGGGTCTTGCCTTACCACTCCTGCCAAAAGGGGGGGAAAAACCTTCCTTGCTGGGTTGAGTCTTTGACTTGGGGTCTCCCTCTCTCCTCTGACTGCAGGCTGTGGGGGCTTGCCTGTACTGCCCCTGCCCAAAGGAAAAAAACCCTTCTTGCTGGCTGAGTTGACTGTCTGACTTGTGGTCCCCTCTCTCCTCTGCCAACGAGGCTCCCAAACTACCCACTGTCATAGCGTTTCTCTGCATCTCAAGCAACCACTCTTCCACCCCTACTAACTGGGTCTGACATTTGGGGACATGAGGACCCCCCGAAGGGGTCGTGCTCATGGATGCAGGGGGGTGGGAAGATTGGCCACACTGAACACAGGTGGTGGAATACAACTGTGTTCTCCCACACCAAGTATGTCGTCAGTGGCCTCCACATCAGCTTCCCATGTGGTGTTGTTAGCCGAATTGCTTTATCTACAGCAATTGGCACAATTTAGATGGGCTCTTGCCAATGTCTACCAAGGTCCAGTTCCCACCAAGGGTTACCAGTAAAAGGAGTCGAGGCTGGTGTTGTTAAAAATAACTGTCTTTTACTTAAGAAAATATAAATCACATACAAACAATACAGATGCACGCACACATTCAATCAAGTTCCTTAAAAAAACAGAATTAAAATAGTCACTTTTGCATTAGCAGGTAGGGTGATGATGGGAGATACTTATCTGTCCTGAAGCTTGTCCGTTCCAATGAAGAATGGGTGGGAAGAAATAGAATCTAGGGAAGTTTAACACACAGCTAGAACCAGCCAGCATGTGTGGGTCTCTTGACTGCAGATCAAGAGATCAAGTAGAGGCAAGGATTTGGGTATAGAAAGCTGGACAAAAGGGGAGAGCAGACAGGGGGTGTTGTGGGGATTGCGGCTAGCAAGGTCCAGACGACTGGTCCTTACCTTTTATAGGTGGATCTTTGGGTGGGTGGCAACTGTGCCAACCTGTGGACCCACCTACCTGTTAGTCCGTCCCAAAACTAATCATATTGGTTGCGTGTAGTGAGGGGTGGCAACCTAGAGGGTTGGGCAATATTTTAACTTAAGACCTAACTCAAAGTAGGGCATCTGGGCAAGTGTGAAACTTGGCGTCAAGGAACCTCCTTGAAGTGCAGATGAAGCTCGGCCATTCCCTGGTCATAAAAGGGTCCATCTAGCAGGAAATGCCAATGTAAAATAAAGCAGAGATGCAGAATACGTGACATCAGACAGCTCAACAATAGGGGCTGTTTCTCCTTAGGTTGTTCTTTTGCTGACAAAATGGAGATGTGTGCTTCCTTCACCAGGCTGATGCTGTGTAGCTGAAACCTCATTAACATGTAAGGTTTTGTGCAGGCACCTTCTATGTGTAGTATCACAACAGGTGATTTGTACAGCTTTCTGAGCCTCAGTGTGTGTGTGTGCACAGTCCATGTAGTGTTTGGCAGCAAATATAAATCCATAAAGTAAAATATCAGTCTCATCCTTTAATAGTGTCCACAGGGCTGCTCTTGGTCACCAGTTGAGAGCTCCCACTGGTTCTGGATGGTCTGTGGGGGCAAAGTACAAGTGGGAGGGAGGAAACCCTTCTTGCTAGTGGTGAGGGTGGTGACAATGGCTGTAGCGTCATCCTGTTCTGCACCCGGGGATTCCCTGCCTGTCCCTTTTCCGTCAGGATGCCCCCCCCCATCAATCCAGGGTCTCAGTCTGGGAAATGGTTGTGCCTGAAAAGCGCCTCACTGATGGGTGTGGGGGCATGGCTGCAATCTGCTGTGTGGAAGTACTTCTGCATCCCACCCAGTAATCCCTGCATGGTGGAGTGCTAGATGTGCAGGGCATGTGTTCATAGGGGGAGGGACCCGCATCACTTAACCACCAGTGTTCTACATGCTTGCTTGCTTGCTGTAAACAGCGATCGGGAGGCGCTCATGAGACCGTGCGAACTGGCAAGTGGGCGTCAACATGGCAAATGGGGTTCAATGTGGCCAAGTGCAAGGTGATGCACATTGGTGCCAAAAATCCTAAATATAAATACACGTTGATGGGGTCTGAACTGGCAGAGACTGATCAAGAGAGAGATCTTGGAGTTATAGTAGATAACTCACTGAAAATGTCGAGACAGTGTGTGACTGCAATAAAAATATTTAGGATTTTTGGCTCCAATGTGCATCACCTTGCACTTGGCCACATTGAACCCTACTTGCCACTCGCCCATTCTTGACATATCCCTTTGGAGTGCCTCACAATCCTCACTGGTTTTCACCACCCTGAACAACTTCATATCATCCGCAAATTTAGCCACTTCACTGCTCACTCCCAACTCCAAATCATTAATGAACAAGTTAAAAAGCAGTGAACCAAGTACTGATCCCTGCGGTACCCCACTGCTCTCCCCCCTCCACTGAGAGAACTGCCCATTTATACTCACTCTCTGTTTTCTATTAATTAGCCAGTTTTTGATCCATAAAAGGACTTGTCCTTTTATCCCATGATTTTTGAGCTTACTTAGGAGCCTTTGATGAGGAACTTTATCAAAAGCTTTCTGGAAGTCAAGGTAAACAATATCTATTGGATCCCCCTTGTCCACATGTTTGTTCACCCCCTCAAAAAACATTAACAGGTTAGTGAGACAAGATCTTCCCTTACAGAACCCATGTTGAGTCTGCCTCAATAGGTTTTGTTCATCTATGTGCCTACTAATTCTTTCCTTAATAATGGTTTCCACCAATTTACCCGGTATCGACGTCAGACTGACTGGCCTGTAATTTCCCGGATCTCCTCTGGAACCCTTTTTAAAGATGGGAGTGACATTAGCTACCTTCCAGTCCTCAGGAATGGAGGCTGATTTTAAGGAGAGATTACATATTTTTGTCAGGAGATCCACAAGTTCACAATTGAGTTCTTTCAGAACTCTCGGATGTATGCCATCTGGGCCTGGTGATTTATCAGTTTTTAAGTTGTCTATCAGTTTTAGGACCTCCTCTCTCGTCACCTCAATCTGACTCAGGTCTTTCAACACCCCTCCCGAACTCAGCGGCTCTGGAGTGGGCAAGCACCTCTCATCTTCCACAGTGAAGACGGAGGCAAAAAATGCATTTAGCTTCTCAGCCATTTCCCTATCATCCTTCAGTACTCCTTTTACCCCTTGGTCATCCAAGGGCCCCACTGCCTCCCTGGCTGGTTTCCTGCTTCTAATGTATTTGAAGAAAGTTTTATTGTTGGTCTTTACATTTTTTGCTATATGCTCCTCATATTCCCTTTTTGCCTG